AATCATTTTGGTCATAAAAAGATGAACAGTTAATAAAACAGAGGAATTATGTCACATTACTGATTCTACTTAGAACCAGGTCTGATGTCTACAAAGACAGGATATCCACCCGATTTGATGAGATTTGGAATATTAATTTTATACTCGGCAAAAAACACAGTCTACAATTTCAATAAGGAAGAACATACATATTCAAACTCCAGAGGAGTAAGTCACATAAACAGAAATTTCCTAATAGTAGTCATTGAGAGAAAAAAGAATTTCAATTTACATTTAAAAGGTATCACAACATTATCCTTCTCTGTCTCTAGAATAAAAAGAAGGAGTTCTGGTAGTGTAGTGGTTACCAGTTGGGCTGCTAACCTCAAGGTCAGCAGTTCAAAACTATCAGTGGTTCCACGGGGGAAAGGTGAAGCTTTCTGCTCCCGTAAAGATTTACAGCCTTGGAAACCCTGTACAGGGTCGCTGTGGGTCGGAACGGACTCCACGACATACTACCACCACCAAAATAAGAAAAACCCTGATTCAAGCTAATGCTGTAATCAAATGGGTACTTATCACCCATGTTAGCGTACACTCATCTTAGTTGTTATTAAAGACCCTCAACTCAAGTCAGGTATGACTCATAGCGACCCTATTGCTGGTATCCGAGAGCAACAGTAGGTTCGAACCACCAAACTTAGTGTTAGCAGTTCAGTGATTCTACCACAGTGCCATGCCAGGACTCCTAGCTGTAAATGAATACGTAAATTTTGTCAACATTTAGTTATTCATTTGTGCCTTTCCAGTTATCCAGCCAATGTATATTTTTATTTCATTTAACAGTGAAAAAAGCCAAAGTCATGCAACCCTTGTGATAGAAACATGAAATTTAAGATGAATTTGGCATCTTTTCTGAAGATCCTCCGCTAAGTTGATTCGCAGTTTGGTTTGACACATCAAGAGGCTCCAGACTCCCCAATCATGGGTTTAGTAACTTTATCACTTATTGTTTTCAATTAAGAAACGTCTCTAGCAATAAACAGCTCTGAGATCACCAGAAATAAATAGTAAATAAAGTTGTATAAGGAAAAAAAAAAAATCTCCATTGTCTTCTACAATGTTGCTTACTTGACTAGGTTATAAGGCATATATTGCTTAATTAAATCAGTTGTGATTAGTTTGCACACTGTTTAATAAGATAACCACTTATTTGCAAAATAATCAAATCAAACCTTTTGTTACACATATTTCTTTTTTATCACAAAGTGTTTCAAATTCTGCTATACTGAAACTGATTTGCATTTGTGAAATAGACTTATAAGATAAAACAAGTTATTATTTCTTTAAAAAAAAAAATAATGTGATGCTTGCAAATGATGGAGTTCAGTTAGTGAGTAGACTCACTTAGAGGCTCACATCCAGTAATCAAGGACACTCTGAGTACTCTGTGCACATATACACACACAGCTGTAACTTTTAGGATCCCTTCCACACACAAGAACCTTGAATTAAGTAAATGGAATACTCAAGTGAGCAATATAAAATTTGTACCTTAATGGATGCTCATACAAGAAGTTAGCACACTCACAAGTTACGCAATAGTGCAAAGCATCTCAACCACGTTTCTGTTGACTTTAGACTACACCCAGGGACACAAAAGGGGGAAAGAAGGGTAAGAGAAAAGTGAGAGAGTGTGAGGAAGAGACAGGGATACAAAGGAAGAAAAAGTGGGAAAAAGATGGGGCAGGGCAAGAGAGAAGGAATGAAGAAAGAAAAGGATTGAGGGAGAAGGGAAGAAAAAAGGAATTGAAGAAAGAAAGGAGAGACCAGGAAGAAGGGAGTAATGAAAAAAATAGGAATCAAGGAAATATAGTAAGAAAGTTGCATTTTGCTTAGGAGGAAAATTACTTCACAGTTCACACAATTCCTAAGCAATTTGAAAGGGACTTCAGGAATAAGACGGTAAAATGAGGTGTCATGAGACCACAGACCTTCTTACCCTAGAAAGGTCCTGGAAATCATACCTTATTTTACAGGGGGATGTTGAGGCACAGAGAGATGCGGTGGTTTGTTAAAGGTTGCACATCAACTTGAAGGCACTTGACTCAAGCTTCCACAATATTAGCAAGTATAGTGTGTACACTTCACCAGTGCACATTCAAGTCTATCCAGCATTTAAAATCACCCAAAATTACTAAGTTACTGAATTCATGCTTTAAATTCAACCACTGTGAACTTGCTGTGAAGACAGTTCGCAAAGCTTCATCTGTCATCTGGCATTTGCTATTGAGGAAGGCTGGGAGCAACTGGCTTGTAAAGAGAACCTGCTCACAACTGCCACTGAGGCTGTACTGACTTCTGTCCCCTTTGTGCTTAGTCCTGTAGCTCTAGGGACAGACCAAACGATATGCCACAGGCCAAAAGCGCAGAACACCAGGAGTTTTGCTATCTTCTGATGTGTCCATAGCCACAGGATGCTTTTCATTTTGCCCAACCCCAGCACTTTTTAGGAGCTGAGGGAATACTGTACCTGTCTAAAAGCCTGAAGGATGCAAACACACACAAACTATAAATAGAAAACGCTGAAGCTTTTCCTTATTCCTTTTATGCTGTTGGTATTAAGTGTCGTCTAGTAGGTTCCGACTCAGAGCTACTTTGTATAGTAGGGTTTCCAAGGAGCAGCTGGTGACATCTCCTACAGCAACCCACCAGAACTCCACTCCATTTATAGCACTTGGAATTCATTTTGAAGACCAATGAAATCACCCTGGCTTTAAATGCACATGTTACAAAGTATCTGTAACACCTCTGTCAAGAGAGCAGATACTAGTTTGACCCCTAGAGCCTCAGACCCCCGTTTTACACAGATTAAGCACAATGGGAGAGATGGTGTGTTCAGATTTTCAGAACTGGATCAAAATGTTTCTAAAGTCATAGGAGCTCACTGTAAATGTTAAAAGTATATCTTGGAGCTTTGCAGTGGTCAGATGCAAAAAAAAAAAAAAAAGCGAACAAAAAATGAAAATTGTTTAACATCATATGATACGAGTTGAAATTTATAATTATTTTGAGTAGAGATAAAAGTCAAATTAACTACTTAAGAAAAATATTGCACTACAGAAGGCAAAAGTTCATGCTCAATATAAAAAGGAAATCAGGAGTTGGACAAAATTAAAAAAAAATAAATAAATAGAATTCCAAATCATTTATTGACTTAGGTTAAATAACAAAAATTCTTAAATAAATGATTTGGGTTGGAATTTAGCTTCTATTTCTGTGATGTATTGTCCTATTAACCACATGTTATGTCAGATCCTATAGCTGTACTAATTATAAAAATAGCACAAATTATTTGAAAAGATACATAAATCTTCTCCAGCAGCCATTATTCATCAAAGTTAGTTTGTTTTGGAAGTAGGCATAAGGCTATTCTTTTCTTTCTTTCTTTATTAGGGTACTGGTTATTTGCAACATAATTGGATCAAAATCACTTGCCTTTATTTCAGATTTCAGTATTTCAGTCTCTTCAATAGACTTACATTTTTCCAGAGAAGCAGACTGTTCTGCAAGGAGAGCCTTGGGGCAGTTCACTACACGGACATACCACAGCCATTGTCCTCGCGCTTCATCTTGCCAGATGAGAAGTGTCTTTGTTGGCTTACTATCTTGTCCCTCCAAACCTCAAGCCATGAAAAGCTGGTGTTCATGCAGACAACCATCTATTTCAAGTTTCCTTTCACTTGCATCGTTCCCCTCAACCAAATCTAATGAGAACAAACTCTGTGCTCACCAGTGAGGCACTTTTGTTACTTCACAGCCTGTGGTTTTGCTCTGCTTTCAGACTGACTGCCTGCTCAGGAAAACTGTATTCGCACTCAGGAAATTACTGGACGCGCGCGGTTGGCTCCATAGTTTCAAACTCACTGTGGGCACTTCTATCCCTCTTTTCGGGTATGAATGATTGCAAGTTAACATTGGTCCACGTCAACTGTGGTCATTGGTGTAAGTAGTTCAAACATCTATTATTCAACTTCTGACAATACTTCAGTTGCTCTACTTGCAAACCAGGAAAATAACTGGGATTTATATTTAGACTGAGGAAATCCAAGCAAAAAAATTTACATCTCATATCGTTCTGCAGTGATAATGATCTTTAATTTCACGAGGGCAATGATGATTTGAAAGACACCTTTCAGATATTAACAATAATATATTCTAATAGTATTTTTATGATCAATTCATTTTGAGTGGATAATAAATATTAATTTGGTAGGTTACATGGAGTGAGCTATAAAAGAGAGATGAAGCTGGATCTATAATGATTTTTTCTTTTTAAATTCACTTTGCTTTTTATAAAAAATCCAATTCATTCAATAACAATAAATGGGCTAAACACAGATTCTGATTTCAAAATACAGCCCCTTAACATACAAAGGGAAATATGAAGTCTTTATTTGCCAATATTCCTAAATCACTCTCCCCAACAAAGTTTCTAAACAGCATGCAACTAAAAAACAAGAGAAACTTTCCCATTTCTGCATTTCTTAGTGGCAACAGAGAGCAGCAAAATGAACTATTTTAAATAAATCTTGAAAACACCGACACATACTTCTTTCATACATAAGTGTATATATAAAAGATGATTTTGTTTTGTTTTGTTTTGCACAGACATTACTTTTACTTACATTATTCCTGCCGTGTGCAGAGGTAAAGAAGATAACATATGCCCTCACCATCCTGAGCACCCTAGACAATGTACCCGTTCTCCCAAAATTAAAAAAGCAAAAGCAGTAATTTTTAACTTCAAGAAAAGCATTGCGAAAGGTCCCTCACTTCCTTGTATGAATCAATTATATAAAAGATCTGACAGAAACAGCAAGCTCTAAACAGATTATACTCTGTCTCACCAGTTTGATTCAACAAAGAGCAATGAAACAGAAAATCAAATGCAGCTTGCAAAGTCACATTCACATGGAGCTTTAGGGAGAAAAGGGGTAAGGGGGGGACCTGGTACTTACAGAACGGTAAAGTAAAATGTCCCAGTTTCGCTTTACGTGTTACAGCAAATCAAACAGAGATTTCAGCTCTCAGCAAGTCCCTGCTTCCTCTATACTGATCATCCAAGCAGAACAGGCCCTTATGGATTGCTTAGGCAGCTGGGAGATAATGGGACCATATTCTCAGCTGGGACTAGAGAATCTGAACTGCTCTCTGCTGCGTGCTGCACGGCTCTCCGCCAGCATTAATCAAGGAGGACCCAGCTTCGTGGCTGTATTCCCCAAAGGATCGACATAATTAGCGCATGAATCAAAGACGCACCCTGGAAACATCACACACATCTCTAACTGGCTCTCCACACATCGAACCTGATTAGGAGGAAATCAAGTTGGTTCCCCAATTCAATGTGTTAAACCGTCCCCAAATACACAGAGACCAACACAGATTTCAAGGCAGGGGTAGAGATGAATACTTTTCTTCCTACCAATGAGCAACGGATGCAATTCCTCAAGTACAGGATATAATTACAGTACATGTTTGGTACACAGGGTGGGATTGTCCTGTGATGTCTCAGCATCAGTTTATGACACCTTGGCTATTTTCAGGTTTAGTCACTGGGAAAATTGGATGGTCTCTATAGAGGAATTTTACATGCCCCCCAAATATGATTCTTCTTTCAGTACTAGAAGTCCAGGGCTTTCCAAACAGAGGGCTTGGCATGGTACTCTAAAATTCAGTATTTTAAAAAGCAGCCGGTGATTGTTCTTCAGCTTGCATAATTGAAAGAACCCCCTTCTTGACTCCTTCCGCCGGGTGATGCAGTCACAGGTTGCAAACGGGTCGTCTGTGGACATGCTCCATTTGGCAAGAGAAAGACTTGAATTGGAATGTGAACATTCTTAAACAGAACATGTGTTCTGCACTTTATCAAAGAAGCACCATCCACCTCTTCCCCAAATATGTTACCCGCTGGCCCCCAAAGGCATTTGTGGATATAAATTTGACCCTATGTAAGCACGTCTGGGTTAGCAATGTAAAAGTATTCTATTTCAGACAAAATGAGGCTCAATTTCCATGTCCCTCAGTGAAAGACTGTGATGAAGCTGTCTGTCTGATTATTTAAAGTTCCACTCTACACAGAGCAGCTAGTACTAAACAAAACCACATGACAAAAATGGAAGAGCCTGAGTTCGAATCCTTTTGTGCTAAGAAAACCAGGTGATCTAGAATAGGACACTTCACCTTTCTGAGCTCCAGTTGTTTCTTGTTTTGTTTTGTTTTGTTTTATTGCTACAATAAGGGCAATGGTCCATATCTCTGAAACCCCTCGCAGAGCTGACATTTTATTGAATTCAAGGAACTGGGAAGTGGTTCTCTATCAGAAGCATGCTTGCACCTAGGGATAGAAATCACAGTAATCATAAATATGTAAAGGCTTGCTTGTTGTATGTGCCATTGAGTCAGTTCCATTTCACAGCAATCCTACACACAGCAAAACAAAACACGGCCCAGTCTTGAGCCATCCTCACAATTGTCACCTTCGAGTCCCTACACACAGCAAAACAAAACACGGCCCAGTCTTGAGCCATCCTCACAATTGTCACCTTCGAGTCCATTACTGCCGCCATTGTGTCAGTCTATCTCATTGGAGGTATTTCTCTTTTCCTCCACTTTACCAAACATGATGTCCTTCTCCAGGGACTGGTCCCTCCTAATACCATTTACAAGTATGAGAGACAAAGTCTCTCCATCTTGGCTTCTAAGGACCATTCTAGCTGTACTTCCTCCAACACAGATTTGTTTGCTTTTCTGTCAGACCATGGTACATGTAATATTAACCACCAATACTGAAATGTAAGTGCATCAGTTCTTCTATGGAATTCCTTGTTCAGTGTTCAACTTTCACACACATAAGAATCTACCGAAAATACCACGTTTTGGGTCATGTGCACCTTAGTCTTCAAATTGATATCTTAGCTCTTGAACAGTTTAATGAGGTCTTGTGAGGCATATTTGCCTAATGCAATACGTCATTTGACTTCTTGACTGCTGCTTCCATAGTCGTTGATTGTAGATCCAAGGACAATGAAGTTCTTGATCATTTACATCTTCTCTTCAATTATCATGAAGTTATTTATTGGTTCAGTGAAGAGAATCTTTGCTTTCTTTACATTGAGGTGCAACCATACTGAAGGCTGTGGTCTTTGATTTTCATCAGTAAGTATTTTAAGTGTACTTCGCTTTCAGCAAGGAATGTTGTATCATCTGCATATCAGAAGTTACTAATGAGTACAGTCTCCAATCTTGATGCCAAGCTCTTCATGTAATCCAGCTTCTACAGAACACTAGATTTTATGAAACAGAGTTTGCTTGCTTATTACTTATGTATTTATTTTAACTAGCCCCAAATTAGAGATCTTGGTTGCTTTTTTTTCATGACCTTGGAGTTAACAGTGTGATGGTTAATCTGCTCTGGCACCAGGGTCCTATGTCTACCATCAGGGCGCTGAAATTTTGTGGGAAAAGAGACTTTTTACATTTAACATGGTTTGCTCTATCTAACTTTCTTATATTTTTTCTCTCCAAAGACACAGAAAGGTGGTATTTATCTTCACATGGTCAGTTATAAAGCCTCTTGTGGGAAAATATATATTATCAAGGTCAACACAACCCAAACTGTCTTAGATACCACTCGTAGGCAATAAAAGGAAAATGTTGCTGTTGTTTTTAAGTGCTGTCCAGCCGAGTTCTGACTCATAGTGGCCTGTAAGGAGTTTCAGAGGAGTGGCAGGTGTGTCTGAGCTTCTGAATCTGTGATTAGCAGTCCATTGCTTATCCTATAGTACCACACCAAGACCTCAAAAGGAAAATAGATAGAGCAACATTTTTCTGACAGGCACACTGGCTGTGAATTATAACCCACCTAGAGGACCCTAGGAAGAAAGGTCTGCCAATCTACTTCCAAAACATCAGCCACTGAAAACCAAACGGAGCACAGGTCCACTCAGACATTGTCAGGATCACCGTGAATCATAATCTATATCAACAATAAATGGTACTCGACAACTAGAAGGAATACGGGTGTGGTGCTGTAGGATAAGCATTTGACTACTAATCACAAGGCCTACAGTTCAAATCTATTATCCTATCTGATGCTTGGAAACCCTATACAGGGTCACTATGACTCAGAACTGACTCCACAGCACTTAACAACAGCAACATAAGCACAAGACTAGTTCACCCAGAAGAGAAAATGATTTTGTAAGAGACGCACACCATCACGGCATTTGTGTTCATTACTAGCTTGACTCCTCCGGACCAGATACACAGCTTTAAGTAGATTTCATATCAGTAGTTAGTAACAACAATACATAAAGTGGTACAAGAAATTGGTAATTAAACAGTGCAATTAAACCTTAAAAATGTACACTTCTGAGTAATCTGTGTACCTTCAACAAACATCTTTAAATCTAATGCTTTAAGATAACCTGTTTCTTTTTTTCTTTGAGTAGTATTGCAATCTGGCATTACTTGTACAATGACTGACACACATTTCATGTTTGTTATTTTTATCTGACTCATTATTATTGAGACTTTAGCACCTCTGTTTCTTTCAGCTCATGTGAGTTACTGACAAAAATAGGTTAATTAAATAGCAATTGTGCATCTCAATCATATTAGCAAACAAATTGCTGAGGCAAATGAAAAGAGGAGCAAATTAAAATACTAAAGTGTTTATTCAGTGGTACAGTCGAAATAAATAGTTTAATTGGTTTTAAGTTCTATTCAGTCCCTCTATGCCTGGTAATTACTTTGATTCATCTTTGATTATGGTATGTGATAGTCACTTTGACATCATGTGATTTGAACTTGTTTCTAATGGTAGGTGGTAATTACTAACAAAATGATTTCAGCTTCCATCAATTCTACATACATTTCTCATCCAAGATTTGAAATAGGAAGTGGATTGTAGTAAAGGCCTAAATCTGTAAAGCTGTACTTTTTTTAAGGTCAAAACCAACATTAATGTGAAAACAGATATAGCAAAGAAGAAGGGAAAGACAGTCATAACTAGTAACTGCATACAAAAGTCTCTTCACAAAGACAGTAGCATATGATCTATTATCCCAGAATGCATCTCTGAAAGCCAAGTATGTACAAAGATTGTTTTAGTCTTTGCATTGAGATTGTAACAACTACATCTCTTTACTACTGTGAGGAGTCTGCAGTTTTAACACACTCTTATCAAAGCTAATCAGAACCCAGGGGGCGGGGTTTCTGAGATCTCTTACTGGCCATGATACAAGATTCAGCAGGCTAAAGACAGCTCTGAGCCTCAGAAAAATCTACTGGCAAAACGAAAATTATGACTACAATTTCCCAATAGGTTGTAGCTTAATCAATACTTTTTAAATGCTTTGACATCTTCAGCAGTAAGTTGCTGGATGTTCCTACAGTTGCTTATTGCTTCTTCTAGAAAGTATTCATACATCCTATTCCTCACCTCTCTCACAAAAAGGCAGCATCGAAAGCTGAGACATTTATTTGTGTCTTGTTTTCCAGCTGGAAACAAAATTTCAAATGAAAGGATGGTTCAGAAATTGCCAACGGGGGCACTCAAGTGTAATGAAAATCTAAGCATTAGCAAGTAGACTTTCATTTCCAACTAAAGTCAGCACCATAATATATCCTCTTCATAAAATAACCAAGAAACCAGTCAAAAGTATGAATGCATAAAGAAGTACATAAGTATATTCATCTTCAGTAAGTGTGAGATTCTTGTAGCAATGACCCTCAAAGACAAAGATGACAAACTTAAAAGGCTGTGGAGAAAATAACCCAATTTGAAAATTACGACAAAATTACATTAGATTGGCTTGAGTTACATAAAGAATATAAAATGATCTACAAATAACTGCTAAGGAATCTGGAATCACTATTAGACAAAAGTGTCTACTAATCTTGTGTGCATGTCTGTGTGAGCACGCATACGTACATGGACAGGCATACATAGAGTAAGAGAAAAGACAGATTGTTTTATCAGTGTTATTTCTCATTTACCCTTGTGGGTAGAGCTGATTTGTCTTTAATGTGCTGGACTGCAAAGTAGCTTCAAACCAATAAATCGGC